TCAATTTGCGTATGTCTAATAACCTCATTTGTTTCCTCCTGCTCCTCTTCTCCGTATCATCAACACCTCCAGATCTTTTTTCTTCAATTTCATTGTTTGTCTTTAGGCTTATCTCCGTACATTCTTCGGCTTCAGTTTCTTCTCTGACGAGCTCCATAAGTTGTACACCACAGCCTTTCACTTTCCAAGTTTCATCATGGACTACGAAGTCAAACACAAGCTCACTGGAAGTGGCTTCTTTGGCTCCAGGACAATCCTGGTCTAGAGTGAAAGAGTCTTCAAATATATACAGATGATCATCTGTATCATTAACTAGAGCTGGCAGTTTGAACTGTTTTGATCCATATCGAACAACGAGGCCATTCTGTTTACCCCGGACGCGACAAGAGACACACAGTAATGAATTTGCATCCTCTTCTTCATCCTCAAGATTAATTTTTCTTCTGGACAGCAAAATGCAAGCTTTAAATGTAAATAGTGAAGGAAGAGGCTTTGGAGTCAAATTGATAGTTAGGGAATCTGAAGTAGCTCGGTGAGTGAGATGTGCAGGAACTTCGACACCCGGCAAGAGCGCATATCTGCAAGATGAAGTCTGAATGAGCTCTCTAGCTTCTTGATTCAGATTGATGCAGTTAGCAAAATTTAGACAAATCTCTGGATGCTGAAAAACACAGTCTATTCTCTTCAAAGATTCACAGCCTTCTGCATTTAGATAGTTAAGGTGAACTGGAAGCTGTGGAAGTACAACGAGCTTTCTACATTCTCTGATGTCAAGCATAGTTAGTCTGCATAATTGTCTGATGTAACCTGGAATAGTCTTGAGACCATTACCTCGGAAACATAATGATGATTCTGATGGAAAAGCCTTCTTGGGTAGACATATCGGTAAAATGTAGTTCACGTTAAAGTCTGATCGTAATATCCACCTGTGCTTCGTGGAACCCCACTCGATTATGGCAACAAAGAAACCAGCATCATCACCATCCTCTCCATGAACACCAGACTCATCATCAATCTCATTGCCATATCCACTCAGAACAAGAAGTTGAAGATTCTCCAACGTAGAGATATTTGGAGATATGTTGTTAAGCTTCTTGCATCCATACATAATTAGACTACGCAGACGGGAAAGATTATGAACCATTGGAGGAACTTCCTGTATCCCTGTCTCACTCAACGTCAACTCCACAATGCTGTTAGGAACATTTGGAAACTCACTGAGATTTCTACACCCTGACATATCCAAACTGTAAAGGCAAGACCAAGAGCAGATTGATGAGGGGACTTCCTCTATCGCAGTATCTCTAAGGTAGAGTTTCTTGATGTTTCTTGAAATGTCTGGAAACGTTTTCAGTCGTGTACAACCACAGAGAGAAATTTCAGTGAGAGATTTCATGTTGATATTAGTAGGTAACGTCTCTAGCTTTACGCACCCGGTCATGTTCAGCACTGGCAATTTGTGAAGGTTGCCAATAGAGGAGGGGAGTGTCACCAAACTCTCGCAGCCACTCAGTTCCAACCTCTCGATATTAACCAGCCTACCTATAGATGTAGGGAGTTCCTTCAAGCTTGTGCAATAGTAAAGATCCAAATAGTAGAGATCCGTGGCATTTCCAATAGAGAAAGGGAGTTCCTTCAAGAGGTGGCAACCGCCAAGTTTCAAGTTTTGAAGCTTAGTAGCATTTCCAATAGTGCTAGTGAGCTCTAGAAAACCTGAGCAGTAATTGAGATTCAACCGCTCGAGATTGATGGCTTTTGAGAGATCTGGAATCTCTTTGAGATCCTTGGAGTCGCTCAAATCTACCCACTTGAGACATTGGAGTGACTACCAAACAACAAAAGACATGTTTTAGAGAAATGACTAATAGCGCTTCATGGACAATAAACACACAGCAAAGAAAAAAAGCATGGTACTTACTTTAATTCCCTCCCAAAGCTTCTCAAGTTTGCTATGGCGCATGGTAAGTTCCACAAGAAACTCCCCAGAGAACTCAGAAGGCCAAAACCTCATTGGAAAATAATCCCAAATCAATAATCTGAGTTTGTTGGGTAAACAGTTCAGGCCTTGGGGTAAGCATAAATTGTAAGAGTAAGAGTAGACTGCTAACAACTGGAGATTATTCATCTTGTCGAAAGCTTTTTCACTTATTTGGATTTCCTCTCTGCCTTCTGGAGGTTCGAACGTTATGCCTAGCACAGTTCCTGTACCCTGATTCAAAAGGAACTAAGTGTTACCTTAAAACCAAGAAAACACAAGAATATGTGAGTGAAAGAAAAAAAAAAGGACTTACAGTATTATCCTTAAATAAATCACAAATCTCCATGGTATCCATCACGAACTGTCGCCTTCCAGGCTCGTCTAAAGACTGTTTGTACACAATTTCTCTGCCCAATTGTTGCAATAAACTATGCATTTGCAACACTTCATGTTCCACAGATATTAGAGATTTATGAACTAAGATTTGAAGCCCATGGTTGACCTCCAAACCGCTTTTTGCAAGACAGCTCTTAACCCGATTAACACCGTGACCAACAAAGAAACATGCTATATATAGAAAGAGAGCTTTATCTTTATCACTTAAGACGTCATAGCTAAATCTTAAAGTTGATTCAATTTCTCTGTCAAGGCTAGACCTGAGCCTTGGCAATGAGTCTATCCACTCGTCCATGGACATTCCTCGTAGATACGATCCCAAGACTCTCAGGCCTAGGGGAAGATCACCAGCAAGTTGAGTAACTTCGTGAGCAAGCTCTTCAAAGCCATCACATGGGACTTTTTGACCAAAAGCGTATAGGCAGAAGATTTCAAGAGACTCAGCTCTAGTTGGAAGTTTCATCTGGTAAATATGATCGATCCCGTGTGCATTGAAAACCTTTTTATCTTCCGTTGTAATGATAATGCGACTACCGCGACCAAACCAACCAGGGTGATTGGCCACTGCATTAAGTTGCCATAAGCTATCCACTTCATCAAGAACAATCAACACTTTTTTGTCTCTCAGCTTTTGTTGAGCCACTCCTAAGTGAGGAACCTCAACATCCTTTTGGTTGACAATTTGAGAGACTAACTGCTTCTGCAAACACAACTTCAATTGATAGTCATCATCATCACAAAGCCTAGGATAACTTCTTTTGATATTCTCCATAAACGCGCTGAACTGAAAATCACGAGAGAGGTGATCATATAAAACTCTGACAGTGCTCGTCTTACCAATCCCAGCAGGACCCAAAATCCCTATCATCTTAACGTCATCTGATTGTAGGTCCAACAAGGAGTTTATCTTCGAGACACGATCTCCCATGCCAATAAAGTCATCAAAATCCCTTGATGGGGTAAAATCCAACACAGCCATAACATCTAAGGCAATTGTGTTGATCAAATCAGCTTCATTGCCCCTAAACCAAAACAAAAGAAAGAAACCTACTCCATTAAAACTGCCAATCATAATATATTTTTTCTTTAAAATAAAAGTAAAGGTGAACAAACAAACCAATTGCGAGAGTGATAACCAGCTATACTTGCGACATCCTTGAGAGCTTGACTCCATCTCTGCTTCACCTCCTTTGTTTTTCCCACACATGTTTGCTTAAAGGCTTTCCCGAAATCGCCGGTTTGTTTCCTCACATCAGATGGATCCACGTCATAGAAAATAGTCATCACTGTTTGTTGATGCTCTTCCTTGCACTTGATGATCTCCACTAGTTCATCCAAGCACCAGCTTGAAGAAGCGTAGTTGCTGGAGAGCAAAACAATCGCAACCCTTGAATCTCTTATCGCTAGTACTAGCTCTGGACCAATAGACTGGCCTCGCTTTATCTCATTATCAATAAAAGGCGTGATTCCCTTGCTTCTCAGCTCTTTCAAAACGTGACTGAGAAATCCTGTGCGGACGTCTCCTCCACAGAAGCTCGGAAAGACTTGGTATACCCAATTACGAGACAGAGATGAAGAAGCCATGGATGGGATGTATGAAGGAGCTGAAGAAAAGGAACAATGAAATAAGTGATGATAACCACATAAAACTATAAAAGAGCCAAAGAGATAAGAAACTTATGGAGAAGGAGGCTTATACATCGTTTGTGCAAGAAAATTCAACTTTGGTGAACCTTAGACTTTTCAAAACTAAGGAGACCAAGACTTTTTATTTTTTACTTCATTTGCATATTAGCCTTTTCACCTTTTGGGGGGCCACTAGACTTTACACATGGATTCATTTTATTGTAGACATATTGAAAATCTCTCTTTTATTGAGAGCAGTTGTAGTAGATGGGAGTAACATTGTCGGCTTACCCGTTTCACTTCTATTGCTGAAAGTGATGTTACTGTAACAACTGTACATTCTCACACCAAGGATCCTCAGGCTATCATACGGGAAGCTGACATCGTTACTACAAAAAAGAAAACACTCTTTGTCTTGCATGTCAGATTAAGGGTGACTAGATAAAGCCATGGGATGCAGTAATCGATGTTGGAACTTACGCAGACAGCGAAGACCCTAGCAGGAACTCAGGATACCAATTAGTTGGAGATGTGACTTTCGCTGAAGCTTCTAAAATTGCAGGTTACGTAACTCAGGTACCTGGTGCCAAGCGGGGTCATTCGCCAGTAAAGTATTCTATAATTGTGTTCTTGGCTTGATGACAGTGTTACTCTCGAATAAATTGAGATTCATTAAAATTCCACATACCATATTCATATGAAAATCTCAAGCATATATGAGATCCCATTACATGAAGACTTAGCAAAACTTAAGTTACTAACTCAAGCTACTCCAAGGTATTGCAAATTCCACACACCAGGATGCTACAAGTCATCCTGAAACTCTCTCTCACCTAATGTAATTGCTCTAGGTCTATCTGAAATAGTTTACCAACCACAACAATGGCATAAACACTCGGAATAACTTCTCATGCTTTCTGCAGTCAAATAAAAAGAGTATTGGTAAGTAAAACGAGCCATGCAAGAAAACGATAGTATTAAGTAAAACTGACTCTGAGGTTCAAACCTGCACTGGTAGATAGAGCTTGAACTCCGGAGGAAGCTCTTCATCTGAGTAGAGACGGTCAACAAAATATATCCTTCTGAGACGGCAGTTAGCATGAACCTGAACTCGCAAAGTCTCAGCGTAATTAGTCCCATAAGCTCTCCTAGTAAGATCAGGTAAGTTCAGCTGAATCTGATTCCATCCCTCATCCATCTTCAATGGCATCGTGCATATATATGGCTTCACTCTAGTCACAGACTACCCAAAAAAAAAAGATAATAGTTCAACACAAGACAATGACATCAATACTATTAGCAACAACTGTATCCTACAATTAGGTTACTGGTATCTTTCTATCTAAAACAGCAATTACGCTACCAATTATTGTTAGTATACTAAACTTAATAATATTTATATAAGCTGACTATAATCTATTGAGCTTAGCTAAGAATTATTTATTAGCAACACCTTAGAGCAGCATAGAACCTACATGAGAGGATCCAGAGACACTACTGAGACTAAATGAAACAAGAGAAAAACTGTTACATACTTGAAAGTTCGAAGCTCGAAAACGCCTACGCACATTCTTATCATCCAAAATCTGAATCTCAAATGAGAAATACTTCTTCACATTCTTCACTACCAACACCAAAAAGGGAAGCTTGATACCAAGAGTTGCAGAAAGATCAGCAGGACAAGTAATGTAAGTAGACTGAATGTTTGTTCCAACTACTTCAAGCACATTGGATTGTATATCATCATCATGGCAACGCTTCACATGACCATCATCCTTAACTATTAATCAAACAAAACATTAAAGATCATTACCTAAAAACCCTAAATTTTAGTGAATCTATATAAAATCAATCGGTCACCTTCTTTGTCCCATATCTGAAGAGGCTTACTTCTGCAAAATCAAAATTAAAAACATTAATATATATCAAAACAATTAATTGTTTAGAGAATATAACGAAAGATTCCAATGAAAATATAACGAAAGATTCCAATGAATTAAACTGAAACGTACCCTAGACTGTAGAGAATAGAGAGGAACCCAGACTGAAACGTGTTCTTGAACATATTAATTTTCCTGCTTCTCCGATTCCCAGGAAGAAGACAACTCGGAGCAATTCTCAATGGGGACAAAAGAGAAGAGAAGACGGAGCTATTAATGGGTCTCGGCCCATTAAGACATGTGTTGCGTCGAAAAAAGAAACTGAATGAGTAATGATTTGACCAAAACCACAATCCAAGACTCGATTAGTTACATTTCATATTAGATTTTCGTTTAAGCATTAAATTTGTTTACTTATTATTTTTTATTTTTATTTGCATTTTAATTTAAATAAGAAATGAAATCCCCAATTTTATTTTATTTTTAATTTTATTAATTAAAAAATGAAACAAAATATTATACAATTTTCTCTCCATAAAGATAAGTTTTAGAAAGAAAAAAATTCACAAAGATATAATTTTGTGTTCTTCAACGATTTTTTGATTATTTAATGTAAATTATAACTTTCAGTAAAATTAGTTGAGCTTATTAAATTCATTTTGATTTAACTTTATTGAAAATTAATATTCACAGAAAAGGGTGCATTTATGAAAAAAAATTGTCTACTTAATATTTAATAATTCATAACATATTTTTTTGTAAGATAGATAAAGTAGCAAATACAGATAAAAAATATTTTGTTTCAAAAACCTTACATTTATTATAAAACTGAATGAGTATTATTTAATTACCATTAAATTTTTGAAACAAATAAGTAAGGTGTTACTTTTATAGCTAACTGAAGTAATAAATAAATTTTGTTGCTACAAAACATCTAAAAACTTATCTTTTAATACAAATTACAAATCAATAGCAAGATCATTCAAAACCAGTCTATATATATATATATACACACATTTATAGATCAAGGAATAGTACTAAACACAATTCAAAGAGAAGTTAAAAATCAATTCTATAGAATGGAGACTAAGACCATTCTCATGACATCTTTCATAATCACCAGTTTAGTATCATATGCGTATCTAAGTTTGGGCCAAGAAAAGGTTGACGATGAACCACTGATCAGTCATGTCGAGTTTGATAGATTGGATACGATATCACCGGCTTCGAAAGATTATAATAATTATATGTTTGATAACCTCCCACCAAAATACAAAGCAAATTTAATAACCTGCATAAAGAAGATAGGAGGTGAGGATAATGTGATATGTTATGACGATGTTCTTGAAGAGATTCTTACCAATAAACGTGTTTCAAGACACTGTTGTATGAAGGTAGTACGAGTTGGAAAAAAATGTTACATAGAAATTATTAAGTTGTCATTTCGATTCTATCAACTCAAACATTTTGCTTCTCAAGTTTCTTTTAAAACTAATGAAGTTTGGAATAGATGTTCTGCTGAAGTTGAAAGTCCTTCATCATCTCACGATGATGCGATTTAGTTATCCTAACTGAATCTTTTGTTATATTACATGATGTATTATGAAATAATGGTTTGTTATATTATTCTAACTATATAATAAAAACAATTTTTATCCGCTTATTCTTTTTTCTAACTCTAATGTGGTATAATAAAAAAACTCTAATTTGATACCTTGGGTTGTTCGAACTAATGTTTGTTTAGCATAGTTTTTTAGTTTATCAAATACAAATATAATTTCACATGAATCTTAAGCAAAATATTATATTTCTTTCGTTATAATGCGAATAAATTATGTTGTTTGAAAAGATCTCAGGACATGTCTTATGTTCTTAGGTTTTATTTCAAATGGCATATAACAAGTATATATCCCTTGTCATCTCTTCTTCTTCTTATACAAATAATATATGTTTCTTCTACCATTATTCTTGACCATGTAATGATTTCACAGTCCAAAACTCGGCTAGTTACAATATTTGACTTAAGTGAAAATTAATCTATCCATTTCATATTGAATCAAACACTTCAGCTTATTATTTATTCTAGTTTAAGCACAATATATATCTATATATATATTAAGTTATATATAATTTAAATATAATATATTTATATATCTAAGACAATAACCAACCGAAATGAAAATAAGAAAATTAATCAAAGTTTTATTATAGTTACAGTAAAAAATATTATAGCTGAATTCGAAAAATAAATATTATCCAATATACCAAATTGATAACCAAACCAATTATTGATCCAAAAAATAACTAAACCGACAATAAAATATCCAAAGTCATATGTATAATTAGAATAATATAATAAAATTTATTATAAAATTATAAATCAATCATTTATTATAAAATTTTATTTTTATGAATATTTATACCCGTGTATGAGCACGGGAAAACAACCTAGTAAGCAAATATTTTAGTCAATGGGGGGGATGAGTCTCACTTTACCATCTAACCTTCTTCTCTCTCTCCTTCCTTCTCTGATTACACATCTCAACACAGCTAACATAATAAAACATCTTCCTCTCTTCTATCTCTTGTAGCTTCGTGCTTCACTCATGGCTGCCTCATCCTCTGCAGATGGTAATCGCTTTTGACTTAACTTATTCACACACACACACACACATCCCTTGACTTTTCCAATTTAGAAAAGTTTTCTACCTATTTGTTAATTTTAGGCAGTCTCAAAAGATCTCTTACAAGTTTGGCAGTTGATTGATTATTTGCGTGATTGTCGGAAGAGAATAATAATTCAACTGTTTTCAGACATGCTGATCTATCTTCATGGTCCCTTGTCTTGTCTGTTAATTACCGAACCACCCATATACTTCTTCACTTATTAATTTCATACTGTTTTTATTTAATCCGAAATGAATTAATCATAGATTCTCTTGTTTCTAATTCTTCAGGAGAAATAGATATGGAGAAAAGTGGAATGATTCTACAGTCTAGTGACTCTCAAACCCCTATGACAGATCCTTCACCAACACCTTCACCTTCATCAACAGCAACTGCACCAGCTTTAGTTCTATCCAACTCAGGCAAGAGAATGGACCAAGCTGGGAAGAAAAAGTACGTCAAGCAAGTCACAGGTCGTCACAACGACACTGAGCTTCACTTAGCTGCTCAGCGTGGCGATTTAGCAGCCGTGCAGCAGATTCTCAAGGACATTAACTCTCAGATGGAAGGGACTCTGAGTGGAGAAGAGTTTGACGCTGAAGTAGCAGAGATAAGAGCTTCGATTGTGAATGAAGTTAATGAGTTAGGCGAGACGGCGCTCTTCACTGCTGCTGATAAAGGCCATCTTGATGTTGTGAAAGAGCTTTTGAAGTATTCGAGTAGAGAGAGTATTGCTAAAAAGAACCGTTCTGGTTATGATCCTCTTCATATCGCTGCCATACAAGGCCATCATGGTATTGTTGAGGTCTTGTTAGACCATGATTCGACGCTGAGTCATACGTTTGGTCCATCGAATGCGACACCGCTTGTGTCTGCAGCTATGAGAGGACATACAGAAGTTGTGAACCAGCTTTTAACCAAAGCTGGGGGTTTGCTAGAGATTTCGAGGTCTAACCATAAGAATGCGTTGCATCTAGCTGCAAGGCAAGGGCATGTTGATGTTATAAAAGCTTTGCTTGTTAAGGATCCTCAGCTAGCGAGAAGGGTTGACAAGAAAGGACAAACTGCACTTCATATGGCTGTTAAAGGACAGAGCTCTGAAGTGGTGAAACTGTTGTTGGATGCAGATCCTGCTATTGTTATGCTTCCAGACAAGTGTTCTAACACGGCGTTACATGTTGCCACTAGGAAAAGACGAGCTGAGGTATGCATCATCTAGAGTAGGCATGCGGGTTAGGTTAGTTCAGGTTATTCGGTTCAACATAAATCTTACCAAATTAACCCGAAAATAAAGTTCGGTTCGGTATTCTGTTAGTTAGTTTTTGAAAATTCTACCTGTTTTTTTATTTCGGTTAGATTTCGGTTTAATCTTGTTAAAAATTTTGATAAGTTCAGTTAATTTTGGGTAATTTCGGTTAGTTGAGTTATTTCAGTTGGTTCGGTTTGAGATTTTGGTATGGTTTGGTTATATAATTTACTTTTTATAAGAAGATGAGTTAACCGATTACCGACCGAAAACCAAACTTTTACTTTTTATAAGAAGATGAGTTAACGGATTACCGACCGAAAACCAAACTTTTTATAAAAACCTACCGAACTCCTACCAAACTAATCGAGATTTTTGGTTCGGTTCGGCGGGTTCGGTTCAAAATCCCAGGCCTAACCTAGAGAGTGTGATTTCATTTCGATATCTTTGATTGAGTGTTTCACATATTGGCATGTTCTTGCAGATTGTTGAACTGTTGTTATCACTGCCTGATACCAATGCCAATGCTTTAACTCGCGAACGGAAGACAGCACTTGACATTGCAGAGGGACTTCCACTCTCAGAAGAATCTTCCTACATAAAAGAGTCTCTTGTTCGTTGTGGAGCTCTCAGAGCTAACGAGCTGAACCAGCCAAGAGACGAGCTGAGAAGCACCGTCACACAAATCAAGAACGATGTTCATATCCAGCTGGAACAGACCAAAAGAACAAACAAGAACGTCCACAACATTTCAAAAGAGCTAAGAAAACTCCACAGAGAAGGAATCAACAACGCAACCAATTCAGTAACCGTTGTTGCTGTACTCTTTGCAACCGTAGCTTTTGCTGCTATCTTCACAGTACCAGGAGGAGACAACAACGACGGGTCAGCAGTGGTTGTAGACCGAGCATCGTTCAAGATCTTCTTTATCTTCAACGCAATAGCCTTGTTTACTTCTCTTGCTGTCGTGGTGGTTCAGATAACATTGGTGAGAGGAGAGACAAAGGCCGAGAAGAGAGTGGTTGAAGTGATCAATAAACTGATGTGGTTGGCGTCTATGTGTACATCTGTAGCGTTTCTTGCATCGTCTTACATAGTGGTTGGGCGTAAGAACGAGTGGGCTGCAGAGCTTGTGACTGTGGTTGGTGGTGTGATCATGGCTGGTGTTCTTGGGACAATGACTTATTATGTGGTGAAGTCGAAGAGGGTAAGGTCAATGAGGAAGAAGATTAAGAGTGCGCGTAGGAGTGGTTCCAACTCTTGGCATTATTCAGATAACTCAAACTCTGAAGTTGATCCGATTTTCGCTATATAAGGTCATAATCATGTAAATATATTTGGTGAAGAGAGCTATAGACTAGACGATCTTGTGATAATAGGCAAACACAATTGTCACGACTCTGTAAACACTGGTCAAACTCATTTTATTCCAAAAATTTTAGTTAACCATTGTTATTATTCAGAAACAGAGAAGAATGAATAATATTAGTGTTCGAAAAATTGGTCTAGGCAGGGTTTATATGTCTCTGCCTAGTCAACAAATTGGACCTAAGCAAAACGTTTTCTTACAACTTGTTCTCTTAAAAATCGGTTATTAAGCGTTTCAAAATAAATGAATAATCAATAATCCCATATGAAAAACACTTAACTACCGTCTAGTATCTAATTCTCATCTAAACAAAACAAAGAACGATGATGCAAGGCTTGGTTCAGTATCTAATTCTCATCTAACCAAGTTACTGTTCACAAGTAGTGGTAAATCAACCATTGAATAAATACATTAAAGTATAAAACCCTTAAGGACTTGCAGACAAAACCATAGAAGTGAAGTTACTGTAACAAAACAAGAAAACCATTAGTCTGAAATTGAAGTTTCGAAATTTATTTTCACCAAAAAAATAAATCATATCTTTAATCCGTAAGAACAAACCAAAAAGAGAGGATTCTTTCAATTACACAGCACTCTCATTTTCATTTTCAGACGCAGATGGTGCATGCAACGTGTTGACAAGATCTAACCCCGGCCAATGCAACGCACCAAACATCAAACCATACACATCATCCCTCAACAGCATCGTTTCAATCCCCCTATATATTAAAAGAGAAGTCACTTTAATGAATTTTGCTTACGTGTCATTCATAGGTGTAATGTAGAATTAATTTTCTTAATTTGATTGGTTGATAGATTTTGAATTTTTATTTATTTAATTAAAGTTTTTAAAGGAAACTAATCCTTGAATTACCTAATCTAATATATATTACCAAACATAGAATTAATTATCTTAAATACATAGGATTAATAGAATTTATTTATAGAAACAATTAAATATCACATATTCCATTATAAAAATTTAGAATATACATATACATATATATTATATTATAGAAATAAGTATATAAACGATTTTAAATTTTTTTCTATTAATAGTGGATAAAAAATTATACAATAGAGAAAACTAATAGTATTTTATACTCATTCAGTATATATATGTACTAGGATAAGATCCGCGCTTTGCGCGGGATGAAGTTATTATTTTTAATTATGTTTTGGAAAAAGAAATAATAGTTCGGTTCATTTGGATTAAGGGTGTTCAATCCGGATATCGGGTTTTACTTTGGTTTGATTTTTTGGTATTTTGTTTATTAAAA